TTGATTCCTTAATTTCCCTTTCTGCTGCTTCATTATTGGTGTATAGAAACACAACAGATTTCTGTACATTGACTATGTATCCTATGACTTTACTGAATTTGTGTATCAGTTCTAGCAATTTTTTGGTGGACTTTTTTGGGGCTTCTATATAGTATCATGTCATCTGCAAATAGTGAAAGTTTTACTTCTTCCTTGCCAATTTGGATGCCTTTTCAAACTAAAAGCTTCTGCACAGCAAAGGAAACAATAAACAAACTAAAAAGCAACCTGCAGAATGGGAGAAGATATTTGTAAATGATACATCTGATAAAGGGTTAGTATCTAAAATATACAATGAACTTATAAAACTCAACACCCCAAAAAGAATAATCTAATTAAAAATGGGCAGAGGACTTGAATAGACATTTTTCCAAGGAAGGCATCCAGATGGCTATAGATACATGAAAAGATGCTCAACATCACTGATCATCAGGGAAATACATACCAAAACTACAATGAGCTACCACCTCACACCAGTCAGAATGGCTAAAATCAACAGCACAACACACAACAGGTGTTGGTGAGGATGCAGAGAAAGGGGAACCCACTTATACTGTTGGTGGGAATGCAGACCGGTGCAGTCACTCTGGAAAATAGTATGGCGGTTCCTCAAAAAGTGAAAAATAGAACTACCTGATGATCCAGCAATTGCATTACTAGGTATTACCCAAAGAATACAGAAAATAATTCAAAGGGATACCCACACCCCAATGTTTATAGCAGCATTATCTACAACACCCAAACTATGGAAACAGCCCAAGTGTCCATTGGCTGATGAATGGATAAAGAAGGTGTGGTATATATACACAATGGAATATTACTGAGCCATAAAAAAGAACAAAATCTTGCCATTTGCAATGATGTGGATGGAGCTAGAGAGTATTATGCTAAATGAAGTAAGTTAGTTAAAGACAAATACCATGTGACTTCAGTCACATGTGAAATTTAAGAAACAAAACAAATGAGTGAAGGGGGAAAAGAGAGAGGTAAACCATGAAACAGACTCTTAAATATACAGAACAAACTGATGGTTACCAGAGGGGAGGTGGGTGGGGGGATGGGTGAAACAGGTGATAGGGATTAAGGAGTGCACTTGTGATGAGCACTGGGTGTTGTACTGAAGTGCTGAATCACTAAATTGTACACCTGAAATTGATATTACACTGTATATTAACTAAGTGGCATTTAAATAAAAACATTAAAAAACCCCAAGTGAAATCCAAAACTAGTAGAAGAAAGGAAATACTAGAGATTAGATCAGAGATAAATAAAATAAAGAATAGAAAACAGTAGAGAAAAAAACTAAAGATTGTTTCATTGAAAATAACAAAATTAACAAACCTTTAGCTAGACTTTAAGAAAAAAAGAGAGAAGATGAAAATAACTAAAATTAGAAATGAAAATGAGGACATTCCTACTGACCTTACAGAAATAAAAAGTTTTATAAAACAATGCTATAAATAATTGTACCAAAAAGTTAGATAACCTAGATGAAAAGCACAAATTCCTAGTGACGGAAATTAACAAAACGGTTTCAAGAAGAAAAAAAAATCTGAACAGATGTATAGCAAGTAAGCTGATTGAATCAGTAATCAAAAAGTTCCATCAAAGAAAAGTCAAAGACCAGATGGCTTCATTGATGAGTGCTACCAAACATTTAAAGAATTAATGCTACTCCTTCTCCAAATTTTCCAAAAATAGAAGAGGACATGACGCTCCTAATTCACCCTGATAAGAAACTCTAAGAAGAGAAAATTATAAACTATTATCCTTTATGAATATAGATTAAAAATTCTCAACAAAATACTAGCAAACCAAATCCAGCAACATATTAAAAGGGTTATACACCATGACTAAGTGGGATTTATCCCAGGGACGTAAGGATGGTTCAACATATGAAAATCAATCAATGTAATACAACACAATAATAGAATGAAGGAAAAACTACATGATAATCTCAATGGATGCAGAAAAGCATTTTAAATCACCCAACACCCTCTTATGATTAAAAAAAAAATGGTAAGCCAGGAATAGAAGAAAACTTCCTTAACATAATAAAAAACATTTATGAAAAACTCACAACTGACATCATCTTCAATGGTGAAATATTAAAAGCTTTCCCTCTAGGATTAGGAACCAAACAAGGATGTCTCCTTTTGTCACTGCAATTCGACACTGTCCTGGAAATTCTAGCCAGAGCAATTAGGCAAGAAAAAGAAATAAAAGGCATCTAAATTAGGAAGGAAAAAGTAAAACTATCTCTAATCATAGATGACATCAGCCTATAATAAAGAAAATCTTAAAGAATCCCCACACAAAAAAAGCTATTAGAGCTAAGAAACAAAATCAGCAAGGCTGTAGGGCACATTATCAGCATGCAAAAATCAGTTGTATTTTTATATACTAGCAGTGAAGAATACAAAAAGGAAATCAAAGGATTCCATTTATAGTAGCATCAAAAGAATAAAATACTCAGGAATAAATTTAATCAAAAAGGTGAAAGACTTGTACACTGAAAACTACAAAACATTTTAAGTAATTAAAGAAGTCCTCAATAGGAGCACCTGGGTGGTTCAGTCAGTTAAACATCTGCCTTCTGCTCAGGTTGTGCTCCTGGGGTCCTGGGATCAAGCCCCATGTGAGGCTCCCTGATAAGTGGGGAGTCTGCTTCTCCTTCTGCCTCTGCCACTCTCCCCATTCATACTCTCTCATGTCTCGCTCTCTCTCTCTCAAACAAATAAAATCTTAAAAAAAAAGAAGACCTAAATAAATGGAAAAATGTCTCGTGTCCTGGCTTGAAAGACTTAATATTGTTAAGATGGCAACAGTCAACCAAAGATTTGTATAGATTCAATACAGTCCCTATCAAAATCCCAATGGCCTTTTTAATCTGATCCTAAAATTCTTATGGAATTTGAAGGGACCATGAATGGCCAAAATAGTATTGAAAAAGAGAAACAATATAGAAGGACTAACATTTCCTGCTGTCAAAACTTACTATAAAGCCATGATAATAAAAACATTATGGATAAGGATAGACATACAGATCAACAGAATGAGGTTGAGAGTCCAAAATAAATCCATACATCTATGGCCAATTGAATTTTTAAATTAATATATAATGTATTATTTGCCCCAGGGGTACAGTTCTATGAATCATCAGGCTTACACATTTCATAGCACTCACCATAGAACATACCCTTCCCAATGTCCATAACCCAGCCACCCTATCCCTACTCCCCACCCCACCCCCAGCAACCCTCAGTTTGTTTCCTGAGATTAAGAGTCTCTTACGGTTTGTCTCCCTCCCCACTCCCATCTTGTTTCATTTTTTTCCCTTCCCGACCCCCCATGACCCCCTCCCCCACCCTGCCTCTCAAATTCCTCATATCAGAGAGATCATATGATAATTGTCTTTCTCTGATGGCCTTATTTCGCTTAGCATGATACCCTCTAGTTCCATCCATGTCGTTGCAAATGGCAAGATTTCATTTCTTTTGATGGCTGTATAATATATATATATATATATATATATATATATATATATACCACATCTTCTTTATCCATTCATTTGTTGATGGACATCTGGGCTCTTTCCATAGTTTGGCTATTGTGGACATTGCTGCTATAAACATTCGGGTGCATGTGCCCCTTCGGATCACTACATTGTATCTTTAGGATAAATACCCAGTAGTGAGATTGCTGGGTCGTAGTGTAGCTCTATTTCCAACTTTATGAGGAACCTCCATACTGTTTTCCAGAGTGGCCACACCAGCTTGCATTCCCACCAGCAGTGTAGGAGGGTTCCCCTTTCTCTGCATCCTTGCCAGCATCTGTCATTTCCTGACTTGTTAGTTTTAACCATCCTGACTGGTGTGATGTGGTATCTCACTGTGGTTTTGATTTGTATTTCCCTGATGCTGAGTGCTGTTGAGCACTTTTTCATGTGTCTGTTTGGCCAACTGAGTTTTGACAAGTGTGCCAAGAGCATTCAATGGGGAAAAGAATAGGCTTTTCAACAAATTGCGCTGGGACAACTGGATATTGACATGCAAAAGAATGAAACTGTGCCTCTGCCTCACACCATATACAAAAACTAACTCAAAATGGATTTTTTAAAAAACCCTAAATATTAGAGGTAAAATCATAAAACTCTTAGAAGTAAACATAGGGGCAAATCCTCATCACAGTTTGGTAACGGTTTCATAAGTATGATAGCAAAGCACAGCAACAAAACAAAAAATAAATTGGACTTCATCAAAATTTGAAACTTTCATGCATCAAAGGACACAGTCAAGAAAGTGTAAAGACAACCCCCAGAATGGGAGAATATATTTTTAAATACTTCAAATCATATGTCTGATAAACTTTTCCTACCCACTATATACATATATAAACTCCTACAACTTTGCCAAAAAGAGATAACCCAATTAAAAATGGGCAAAGGAGGGGCACCTGGGTGGCTCAGTGGGTTAAAGCCTCTGCTTTTGGCTCAGGTCATGGTTCCAGGGTCCTGGGATTGAGCCCCCCATCGGGCTCTCTGCTCACTGGAGAACCGCTTACCTTCCTCTCTCTCTTCCTGCCTCTCTGCCTACTTGTGATATCTCTCTCTCTCTCTGTCAAATAAATAAATAAAATATTTTTAAAAATGGGCAAAGTACCTGAACAGATATATCTCAAAGAAGATATATAAATTCCCAATAAGCAATTGAATAGATGCCAACATGATTAGTCATTAGGCAAGTATAAATAAATACCACAATGAGATACCACTTAGCATCCACTAGGATGGCTAATAGTTTTTTTTTAAGATTTTATTATTTATTAGACACAGAGAGAGATCACAAGTAGGCAGAGAGAGAGAGAGAAACAGGCCCCCTGCTGAGCAGAGAGCGGATGTGGGGCTCGATCCCAGGAGCCTGAGATCATGACCTGAACCAAAGGCAGAGGCTTTAACCCACTGAGCCACCCAGGTGCCCCTAATAGTTTAAAAAAAAACCAAAAACACAACATAGTGAGTGCTGGTAAGGATGTGGAGAAATTGGGACCCTTATATATTGCTGGTGGAATAGAAAATGTTACGGGGCGCCTGGGTGGCTCAGTGGGTTAAGGCCTCTGCCTTTGGCTCAGGTCATGATCCCAGGGTTCTGGGATCGAGCCCCATATCAGGCTCTCTGCTCTGCGGGGAGCCTGCTTCCTCCTCTCTCTCTCTCTCTCTGCCTACTTGTGATCTCTGTCTGTTGAATAAATAAATGCAATCTTTAAAAAAAAAAAAAAAAGAAAAGAAAATGTTACGGCTGCTGTGAAAAATAGTCTGGTGGCTTCTCAATAAGTTAAACATACAATTACCATACCACTCAGCAATTCTACTCTTGAGCATTGTTTTGAACTGAATCTTCATGTCCTACCTCCCTCCCGACCAATTAATATGTTGAAGTTTTAACCTTACCCCCCTCCCATCATATCACTGTATTTGGAGATGAGGCCCCTAAGAAGGTAATTAGCATTGAATGAGGTCATAAGGGTGGGATCGGACACAATTCGGGACCTTATAAGAAGAGAAACCAGAGAGCTCTCTCTCTCCCCATACTCATGCACTGAGGAAAGGCCATGTGATGATATAGTAAGAAGGTGGCCATCTACAAGCCAGGAAAAGAGCTCTCACCGGAAAATGACTATGTCGACACCTTGATCTCAGACTTTCAGCCTTCAGAACTGCAAGGAAATAAATTTCTCTTATTTAAGCCATCTCACTTGTAGTATTTTGTTATGGCAGCTGAGCAGAAAAGACCAGTACATACCCAAAAGAACTGAAAACAGGCGAAAAGAACCAGACACAAAAATGCCACATGTCATATGGTTCCATTTAGATGAAATGCTCAGAACGGGCAAATCCATAGAGACAGAAAGAAGATTAGATGTTGCTAGGAACTGGGGAGAAAAGTGGAGTGGAGTGTGACTGATTAGTGTGTACGGGATTTCCTTTTTTGGGTGATGAAAATGTTCTGGAAGTAGATAGTGGTGATGTTTGCATATTGTCAATGTACTAAAAGTTACTTGTACACTTGTACACTTTTAAATGGTTAAAGTGTTACAAGTGTTACATGTTCTGTGTATTTTACCACAAAAAAAAATTTCTAAAAAATAAAGGGATATGTTGAACACTACATCAAAAGCTAATGATATACTATATGCTGGCTAATTGAACATAATCAATCAATCAATTAATCAATCAATAACTATATACTACACTAAGAGTAATTAAAGAAAGCTGGAGTAGCTATATACATTTCATACAAGGTGGACTTCAGAACAATGAGAAATGAGAATACTTAATGTGTATGCACCTAACAACACAGTATCAAAATACCTGAGGCAAAAAGGGATAAAACTGCAAGAAAATGATAAATATGCTATTATCACTGAAGACTGTAACACTCCTGTATCAATACTTGACATGACAGGTCCAGCCAGTATAAAAATCAGTAAGGATATAACTGAAATGAATGGCATCATCAAGCAACTGGATCTAATTGACATTTATCCAACAACAGCAGGATACACACTCTTCTCAAGCTCACATGGAACATTCAGCATTATAGACTATATACTGGGCTCAAGACACACTCTACTCTATTGGAAAGAATAGAAATCATGCAAAGCATGCTCTCTGATTATAGTGGAATTAAACTAGAAGCCAAAAACAGAGATAGCTAGGAAATCCTAAAATATTTGTAGATGAAATGACCCACTTCTAAATAACACATGAGTCAGAGAAAAAGTCTCCAGAGAAATGTCAAATCAGCAACCTAACCTTCCACCTTGAGAAACTAAAAAAAGAAGAGTACATGAAACCCAAAGCAAGCAAAAGGAAGGAAATGATAAACATTAATAGGGGAATAAATAAAATAGAGATCAGAAACATATTACAGAAAAGCAACAAAACCAAAAGTTACTTTGTGGAAATGATCGATAAAGTGACAAAACTTTAGGTAGAAAATAAGAAAGAAAACTCAATTATTGAATCAGGAATTGAAGTGGGACTTTACTATTGGTCCTACAGAAACAGAAGGTTTTAAAGGAATATATGAACAATTACATGCCAACAAATTAGATAACTGATACGAAATGGATAAATTCTTTGATACAACCTTCTGAAACTTTCTCAAGAAAAAATAGAAAATGTGAAGGGACCTATAAAAGGCAAGGAGATTAAATTAGTAACATTAATATAAAAAACTTCTCACAAAGAAAATCCTAGGACCAAATGGCTTCTCTGGTGAATTCTGCCACTTAGCGAATGAACAGCTCACAAACTCTTCCAAAAAATAGAAGGGTAGGGTATACTTCCCAACTTATTTTATGGGGCTCGTTTTACCCTGATACCCGAAGCAGACAGAGACATAAGAAAACTATAGACCAATATTCTTTATAAACACAGGCACACACAAAAACCTGGAACAAAATACTAGCAAAGCAAATCAAGCAACATGTAAAGAGGATTACATGTCATGACCAAGTGGGAATTTATCCCAGAAATGTAAGTTTGTGATTTAACATACAATAATTAATCAATGGAATACACCATAAAAGGCCAACAACCACATGATTATCTCCATAGATGTAGATACAAATTGACAACAGTCAACACCCTTTCATGATAAAACCATTCAACACACTGGGAATGGAAGGAATCTTCCTCAACCTGATAAAAAAGTATCTACAAAAAACCCATAACGAACATCAAATCAATGGTGAAAGACTGAGAGTTTTCTCCCTAAATGGGAACAAGACAAGGATGTTCACTCTTTTTATTTTAATTTATTTGACACACACACACACACACAGAGAGAGAGAGAGAGAGAGATCAGAAGTAGGCAGAGAGGCAGGCAGAGAGAGAGAGGGAAGCAGACTCCCTGCTGAGCAGAGACCCCCCCCCAATGTGGGGCTCCATCTCAGGACCCTGAGATCATGACCTGAGCCAAAGGCAGAAGCTTAACCCACTGAGCCACCCAGGCACCCCAAGGATGTTCACTTTTGTCACTTCCATTCCACATTGTACTGGATGTTTTAGCTAAGGCAATAAGACAAGAAAAAGAAATAAATGGCATATTGATTGGAAAGGAAGAAGTAAACTTAACACAGGTGAATTTTACAGTATGTACATCATCCTCAGTGAAGCTGCTTAACACATTTTTGCTACTGCAGTGATAACACTTAGAATTTTGAGTCAAAGTTGTTTAAATAAAAAGTAGACCCAGTCCAGGAAGCATAAGTAATCATGCGTGGGTTGACTTCAGACTATTTCTTCACTAGACGGCACTGATCAAATATTACAGGTCTAAATGTTTTCAGATTGAGACAGGGAGTGAAAATCTGCCAACACAGAACTTCTGAGTCTGATCCATCAGGCCTGCAGGGTTCCCCTCTGCTTTCAGATAGTATTGGTCCAGATTGCATTGTGTCAAATCTGGAGCATGGCCATTTCCTCCTGGCAGAACTACTTGTCTCAAGTTTCTCTCTGCACTGTTGCCTGCTGAACTTTTTTATTATGTTCAAATATACATAACATTTACCATTTTAAGTACATTGTTAGGGGCATTAAGTACATTCACACTGCTATGCAGCCATCACAACCATCCATCTCCAGAAAATGTTCACCTTCCCAAATTGAAATGCTGTACCTCTTAAACAATAACTTCTCATTTCGCCCTCCCTTCAGTCCTAGGAAACCACTTCTCTATTTTGTGTCTCCATGAATTTGACTACTCTAGGTGCCTCATATAAGTGGATTCATACAGCATTTATCCTTTTGTGTCAGGCTTATTCCACTTAACATCATGTCCTCAAAATTCATCCATATTGTAGCACATGACAGAATTTCATTAATTTTAATTTTTTTAAAGATTTTACTTATTTACTTGAGAGAGAATGGGAGAGAGAGAGAGAGAGAGAGAGCGAGCACCAGCAGGGCAGGGAGGGGAAGAGAGAGAGGGAGAAACAGGCTCTCCACTGAGCAGGGAGCCCGAACTGGAGCTCGATTCCCCCAACCCTGAGTCAAAGGCAGATGCTTAAATGACCAAGCCACCCAGGCACCCTGGAATTTCATTTCTTTTTAAGGCTGAATAATATTTCATTATGTGTAATACCACATTTTGTTTACTCATGGGACATTTGGGTTGTTTCTACCTTTTGGCTATTGTGGATAATGCTGTCATGAACAATGGCATACAAATGTCTGTTTGAGTCCCTGCTTTCAATTCTTTTGTGTATACACCAAGAAGTGGGACTGCTAGATCATGTGGTAATTCTATGTTTAATTTTTTATGAGAAATCACCATGCTGTTTTCCATAGCAACCACAACACTTTAGATTCCCATCAACAATGCACAAGCGTTCTGATTTCTCCACATTCTTGGCAAATGCTTGTTATTTTCTGTTTTTTTGTTCGTTTGTTTGTTTATAATGGCCATTCTAATAGGTATGATGTGGTATCTCATTGTAGTTTGTTTTGATTTCTATTTACCTGATTGCGGATATTGAGTATACTTTCATGTACTTATTGACATTCTGTATATCCTCTTTACAGAAATGTCTATTCGAGTTCCTTGCCCATTTTTTTTTTTTAAAGATTTTTATTTATTTATTTGACAGAGATAGAGAGCACAAGTAGGCAGGGCAGCAGGCAGAGGCGGAGGGAGAAGTAGGCTCTCTGTTGAGCAGGGAGCCCAATGTGGGGCTTGATCCCAGGACCCTAGGATCATGACCTGAGCCAAAGGCAGCCACTTAACTATCTGAGCCACCTAAGCGCTCCTGCTTGTCCATTTATTTTTTTTTTATTTTTTTTTAAAGATTTTATTTATTTATTTGACAGAGAGAGATCATAAGTAGACAGAGAGGCAGGCAGAGAGAGAGAGGGAAGCAGGCTCCCTGCTTAGCAGAGAGCCCGATGCGGGACTCGATCCCAGGACCCCGAGAT